GTCGGGGACAAGATTGTAGACCTACACAAGGCTGGAATGGGCTACAAGACCATTGCCAAGCAGCTTGGTGAGAAGGTGACAACAGTGGGTGCGATTATTCTCAAATGGAAGAAACACAAAAAAATGTCAATCTCCCTTGGCCTGGGGCTCCCAGGTGTCAATGATCATGAGAACGGTGAGGAATCAGCCCAGAACTACACGGGAGGATCTTGTCAATGATCTCAAGGCAGCTGGGACCATAGTCACCAAGAAAACAATTGGTAACACACTACGCCGTGAAGGACTGAAATCCTGCAGCGCCCGCAAGGTCCCCCTGCTCAAGAAAGCAAATATACATGCCCGTCTGAAGTTTGCCAATGAACATCTTAATGATTCAGAGGACAACTGGGTGAAAGTGTTGTGGTCAGATGAGGCCAAAATGGAGCTCTTCGGCATCAACTCAACTAGCCGTGTTTGGAGGAGGAGGAATGCTGCCTATGACCCCAAGAACACCATCCCCACCGTCAAACATGGAGGTGGAAACATTATGCTTTGGGGGTGTTTTTCTGCTAAGGGGACAGGACAACTTCACTCGCATCAAAAGGACGATGGACGGGGCCATGTACCGTCAAATCTTGGGTGACAACCTCCTTCCCTCAGCCAGGGCATTGAAAATGGGTCGTGGATGGGTATTCCCGCATGACAATGACCCAAAACACACGGCCAAGGCAACAAAGGAGTGGCTCAAGAAGAAGCACATTAAGGTCCTGGAGTGGCCTAGCTAGTCTCCAGACCTTAATCCCATAGAAAATCTGTTGAGGGAGATGAAGGTTCGAGTTGCCAAACGTCAGCCTCGAAACCTTAATGACTTGGAGAAGATCTGCAAAGAGGAGTGGGACAAAATCCCTCCTGAGATGTGTGCAAACCTGGTGGCCAACTTCAAGAAACGTCTGACCTCTGTCATTGCCAACAAGGGTTTTGCCACCAAGTACTAAGTCATGTTTTGCAGAGGGGTCAAATACTTATTTCCCTCATTAAAATGCAAATCAATTCATAACATTTTTGACATGCGTTTTTCTGGATTTTGTTGTTATTCTTTCTCTCACTGTTCAAATAAACCTACCATTAAAATTATAGACTGATCATTTCTTCATCAGTGGGCAAACGTACAGAATCAGCAGGGGATCAAATACTTTTTTCTCTCACTGTAAAAGGAATGTTTACGATTTGTAGGAATCAGTTTAAATATCCCTCACTCAAAGAACAAAATGTGTGCGTGACCCGTCGCGAATTTTTAATAAATCGCAGACATTACATATGCAGCACATAACGTGTGCACACATTTTCCGTAACGCGACGAGGCGTACAGGATCAAGGTAATGGATGCACACACACATGACATGCACATTGCAAATTCAAGAAAGTCTGGTTAGGTAATCCAAATGCATTATGAAAAAGAATGTGGATCATTGCTGCATTACCCCTTACAGTGAGGGAAAAAAGTGTTTGATCCCCTGCTGATTTTGTACGTTTGCCCACTGACAAAGAAATGATCAGTCTAGAATTTTAATGGTAGGTTTATTTGAACAGTGAGAGACAGAATAACAACAACAAAATCCAGAAAAACGCATGTGAACATTTTTATTAATTGATTTGCATTTTATTGAGGGAAATAAGTATTTGACCTCTCTGCAAAACATGACTTAGTACTTGGTGGCAACACCCTTTTTGGCAATCACAGAGGTCAGACGTTTCTTGTAGTTGGCCACCAGGTTTGCACACATCTCAGGAGGGATTTTGTCCCACTCCTTTTTGCAGATCTTCTCCAAGTCATTAAGGTCTCGAGGCTGACGTTTGGCAACTCGAACCCTCATCTCCTTCCACAGATTTTCTATGTGATTAAGGTCTGGAGACTGGCTAGGCCACTCCAGGACCTTAATATGCTTCTTCTTGAGCGACTCCTTTGTTGCATTGGCCGTGTGTTTTGGGTCATTGTCATGCTGGAATACCCATCCACGACCCATTTTCAATGCCCTGGCTGAGGGAAGGAGGTTCTCACCCAAGATTTGACGGTACATGGCCCCGTCCATCGTCTCTTTGATGCGGTGAAGTTGTCCTGTCCCCTTAGCAGAAAAACACCCCCAAAGCATAATGTTTCCACCTCCATGTTTGACGGTGGGGATGGTGTTCTTGGGGTCATAGGCAGCATTCCTCCTCCTCCAAACACGGCGAGTTGAGTTGATGCCAAAGAGCTCCATTTTGGTCTCATCTGACCACAACACTTTCACCCAGTTGTCCTCTGAATCATTCAGATGTTCATTGGCAAACTTCAGATGGGCATGTATATGTGCTTTCTTGAGCAGGGGGACCATGCTGGCGCTGCAGGATTTCAGTACTTCACGGCGTAGTGTATTACCAATTGTTTTCTTGGTGACTATGGTCCCAGCTGCCTTGAGATCATTGACAAGATTTTCCCGTGTAGTTCTGGGCTGATTCCTCACCGTTCTCATGATCATTGCAACTCCACGAGGTAAGATCTTGCATGAAGCCCCAGGCCGAGGGAGATTGACAGTTCTTTTGTGCTTCTTCCATTTGCAAATAATGGCACCAACTGTTGTCACCTTCTCACCAAGCTGCTTGGCAATGGTCTTGTAGCCCATTCCAGCCTTGTGTAGGTCTACAATCTTGTCCCTGACATCCTTGGAGAGCTCTTTGGTCTTGGCCATGGTGGAGAGTTTGGAATCTGATTTATTGATTGCTTCTGTGGACAGGTGTCTATACAGGTAACAAACTGAGATTAGGAGCACTCCCTTTAAGAGTGTGCTCCTAATCTCAGCTCGTTACCTGTATAAAAGACACCTGGGAGCCAGAAATCTTTCTGATTGAGAGGGGGTCAAATACTTATTTCCCTCATTAAAATGCAAATCAATTCATAACATTTTTGACATGCGTTTTTTCTGGATTTGTTTGTTGTTATTCTGTCTCTCACTGTTCAAATAAACCTACCATTAAAATTATAGACTGATCATTTCTTTGTCAGTGGGCAAACGTACAAAATCAGCAGGGAATCAAATACTTTTTTTCCCTCCAGCTAACTCCAGTTCATTCAGTGCTTGCAATATCATCATTATTGTAATCATTATCATCATCAACTTGTAATCATTATCACCTCCAGCATCAATACCATCATCCCCGTTATGATGATTATCATCAATCCCACCTCTGCCATCGTAACGACCATGCAGCTATAAGTAATCACCACCACAATCACTGCTGTCATCATCATTATCAGCACGCCACTGCCATCGTTACTACTCTATTGGCATACATTTTAGTTGTACTTTTTTCTTTATTTGCTTCCACGCAACCATTGTTTCTTTTACATTTTAGTTGCACATATCAGCTTGACTTCTGTGCATTTGACATCCAACCTCTAAATAACTGCCCCGAGTCTCATCACCATTTGGCTTTAGCTGTTTACCTCCTTCCACAGCCGACGTCCTTCAAAGACCATCAAGGTCCATTCTTGCAGTGTCAACCCCACATTTCGACTCGAAGGTCTTCCCTTTGGTCTGAGTGCCACTCGATGCCTGTATCGGTAACCTGCCCTCCCTCATCCTGCGCGCACAACCTCTTCCTGGTGTTGTCTTCGATGCTATCAAAGCAACGCACCAATAACCTATCTTGGCATGACATTGTCCTCTGTTTTGAGCGCACCGATATTCAAAAGTTGTAAGTGTCTTTCCAAGTTGTTTTGTTCGTGTCGAGTTCTCTGACTCGTACAGTAATAGAGGCATGACCTCAATGGTGAACATCTGTCTGTTAACACTAACGCTAAAGTTTACGTCTACTACTATTTAAAAATGGGTTTTGCATCTCATCAAAAACCTGCCCTGCATGGAAAGTACCTTGATTGAACTCGCAACTCCCTGTGTGTTGTGAAGTTTACCTACCCAGGAACACGGTGCTCAGGTTAAAATTAGTATGAAGACAGTGTTCCCGGGGACGGGCCGTGGTGGCCAGGTGGTTTGCTAAATTGGGCCGTGCGTAACAGGATATACTGGTTAGCCTCATCGGATCTTGCTTACAAAAACCCGGGAGTCAAAACAATTAAAATATCCAATCCTCAAATCGCAGCGTCTCCTCTGCTCAAACGAGCACATGGGTAGCACTAATGTATTCTTTATTGTCCCGATCCTGTGGTGGAAATTCCACATTCCCATGGAGGAGGCCCAACTCCAAACATTTTTTTCCCTCTCCCAGAAAATTATTGTCCGAGATCATTATCACAGTTAACCAAACCTAGATCATTTACAGCCCTTTTTTAATCCACTGCTGGATGAATACCTTCCCCTGCCATTTGGGTAGTGAGGCCTATTTGACCATAATTCGCACTGATCACTGCAGATGTGAAAAGGTGAAGAGCATAGACATTTGAGCATAGTAGAGTACAACAACAATTCATTTTACTCTCTGCATGTTTCTGACAACATTGCCACACAGTCTGAAACCTGTTTATGTTTGTCACTCAACCTCAACCATGCACTGGCCGGGCTCAAGCCTGTTTATCTTCCGAACTCTGCTGAGATTTCGGAAGATTAGCAGGGTGCTACGGTGGCGAGATGTTAACTACCTTGCCTGGTATACAGGAGTTAATTGGTTTGATAACCACCTCGATGCCAGTATATTTGGAGTTTGCATGTTCTGCCTGTGGTCGTGTATTTTTCTCCAGGTCCTCCAGTTTTTCTGTCCACATTTAGAAACATGCATTTAGAGTATTTGGCTGCAATAAATTTCCACGTGATAAGCCACTTCGTTGAGCTATCATTTGTGGCCAAGTTGCTTCTGAAAAAAGGGCTATATTGCTCAGTGGGCCTTACCTGGTAAAATAAAAAGTTTAGTTTAGATCGGACACACTACGGGTGAATTGGTCATTGGAAAATCCTAGGTCAAACTCTGCCTCAACTGAGAAGACTCTCTTGTCCTTTCTCTGCCCCCCTTCTCACCCTTGCTCTCCCCAGTGCATGGGGCGCTACGTGAAGCTGGAGATCTCGAAAGGCTTGGGGGAGCCCATCACTTGCCCGGATGCTGCGTGTCCCATCACAGGCCTTCTCTCCCAAGCTGAGGTGAGGCTCGTCTCTCGCGCACACACTCACTTGCACAAAGTAAAGATCTCCCATGTGTAGCATTTAACGGCTATACTGGGACAAGTAGTGAACACACATCAAGGCCGGAATGAAGAATTGGAGTGTGGCCCGCACCACACCTTTTTGTTTTCCGACACTGCACGATGTACTGATTTAAGGCTGAGTCAGCCTAGGGAAGGCCCGGAACCGTTTCCGATTTTTGCCACCGATGTTAGCCATGAGCGGAAATTAACAGGTTCCGAGCACAGTGCACTAACCACTAAGCCACAGCTCGCAGATGCACATACATGCACATACATGCACACACACGCGCACACAGTGTTCTGGTTATGGGTAGATTAGCGCTAGGGCCTGTGTGTATGACTGTTGGGATTAGTGTTATGGTAATGGATAGGATTACTGTTGTGGATTGTGGCTGCCTCTTAGGGTGAATGATATCATTTGAGCCGTGGTCACTGTTTAGAGTGGGATGGGTGGGTTGTGGCTCTTAGGCTAAGTGTTAGGATTTGCAGTGTCAGTGATGGCTTTGTGCTTGTGTTTAGGGTTAGAGTTAGATTAAAGCTCACAATTACGATTAATGCTATGCAATGGGCCAAGAGGAAATGTCGTGGGTTAATCTTTGTTTGCTTATGGTTGATGTTAGAGATGGTGTTTTGGCTAGTGCTATGGTTGTATTAGATTTAGGATTTGTATTAATGTTTAAATGAATCCTAGTGTGAGGGTATGGACTTTGGTTCATGTTAATATTTACGAGTGAATTAGAAATCAATTTGATGTCTTCATGCTCAAATGGGTAGTAAAAATTTGACATTCTTATGCCAGGGACCAGATTCTCCATCCGGCAACCACTGTGAACCCTAGATATAACCATACCACTCTTAACACCCCCATCAAACTAAGCTATTTTTATTTTAGCAGGTAAGGCCCACTGAGCTGTATAGCTCTTTTTCAGAAGCGACCTGGCCACAAATGATGACTCAACGAAGTGGCTTATGTGCAAATGTATAGCAGCCAAATACTCTAAACACATGTTTAAACACATGTTTAGAGTATTTGCCATGACCACGGGGAGAACACGCAAACTCCACAACCTCCTGTATACCAGGCGAGGTATTTAACATCTTTCCTCTACTCTTCCCAACAACAATCCAAATCTCCGCCACTACTTTTGTGGTGGAGCTTGATTTTGCCTCCTTGAAGGTTTTTTGTTCTGATCTCCGTCAAGGGATGATTCCACCAATCAACCGTCCCTCCGCGGTCGGTAATTTAGTGAAGTGTTGCGTGAAAATTTCTATTCAAAGCTTTCGTGACTGCAGGGATTCATATTCTTGGTTCTTTCGGTAAAGTCACGTAGAAGGGAAATAATAAAATAGTAATTAAAAAAATCTAAATTCTCACGACGTTTCGATTGCAACACAAGCAATCATCATGATTTTGGTTTTAACACCTGATGTGCTTGTGTTGCAATCGAAACGTCGTGATAATTTTTATTGTTTTATTTGTATTTTATTATTTCCCTTTCTACGTGACTTTAGCGAAAGAACCAAGAATATGTTTTGGGAAGTCAACTGTGTGCTCATCTTTTAGAGCACTGCTTTTTATCCATTGGTTCTCAGTTGTAAAAAAATATATGTTCATCATTTTCATAAATCGATAGGTTTGATGAAACAAAGTAAGTTGTACTTACGTGGCCGTGCTTAATTTTTTTCGATGATTTACCTTCTAAAAAAATCTGGCCATGGCTCACACCCCCCCCCCCCCCCCCTCATAAAAGGCATATCCAGGGGTTGTATGCACCCCAGTTTAAGGACCACTGCTCGATGCTTTATTGTTATATATCGTATCACATCGCGTCGCATTGTCCTGCACCACGGTATGTCGTAATGCCCCCCCCCATGTGTTATGTGGTTCCCTCCCATGAGCCCGGGCATCTGCGCGAGTTATCTGCTGTGTGATTGTGGAATTTCCACCATTTGGCAAGTAAAATAAGTGTTGCTCTGTTGTTCATATGCAAAGGGAGACACCTGACTTTGACCCTAACTCCAACTACGACACACAAAGTGTTAGGTTTTGGGTATAGTCTGAGATTATTGCAGCATTTGACTTTTTGTGTGTGAAATGGCTCGTGCTAGGATAAATGTTGAGGACAGTGTTAAATAATGAAATGAGTAAATTCCTTTCTCGGAACAGCCTCAGCACAACACGCTAATTTGAGCTGAAAAATAACCAAAGCCAGTACACCCCCTGGACCTGGTTCAAATCACGCATCGAGTTTGTAGTCCTATCGCCTTTCTGATGCTTGCGCAGACACACGTTGGGGGATTTGGAAAGCACCACGAGATCGATTTAAGCTGCACAATGACGGTGAAATATAATTCCGCCCCCCCCCCCCCCACGTTTGAAGATTGCAACAAAAGGTCATTGCGGTCACTGCCGATTGATGTTGCAACGATTCTCGACGCTTCCTTCATTCTGCCACGTCCTGCAACTATTGCGCAATCGGCATTCAATCTCCACGGCCTGATTTTAGTATCGTCACCTGCCATCCGGCTTTAGGGCTTCCTCTTCTTACACCGTTGACAAGTGTTCTCAGGGACTACTCTTAGTCTTGCCAAAGATGGATTCCCTATATAGCCATAACAGACTGGGCAATGTTTTTACTAATTGATGAAGGAGCCATTGCATCATCATCTTCATGGCCTCGTCTCGCACATTAATCGATCGCGGCGCTTGATGCCACGTGGAGGTGGATTTCCTGATGCACACAAAGATCCCCCGTATTAGACTTTTTTTTACCAGACTGTTGGGGCAAGTGCTGCAAGCAAGTAGCACCTATGAAAGCCGGCACAGCACACGAGAGGTGGTGGGTGGCCAGCACCACCGCCGGCCGCTTTTGTCTCCCGAGTGGCGATGTTTACACATCAAACCAGATACTTATTTGAAGCCGAGTCGACCTTGGGTAGGCCCAGGACCGGTTAAGATAATTGTCACTGGTGTTGGCCATAATGCAGGAATCGAATTATGCTTGCCGGGTTCGTAGCGCAGTGCGCTGACCGCTACACTACCGCTCTTACCCCCACCACATTGGTTTTAGGTTTTCCCCGTGGTGGCCCACCTGGGTGCCACTCCAATTCCAATCTCCGTCAACTGCAGACACATCCCACCCATCACAACTTCCTCCTCTTTTTCACGTCTACAGTGCTGCTATCCTGCCACATTCTATTCTGAACTTATAAGTTGCTCATGCTATCCTTCATCATTCGTGTACACCTCTACTCAAAAGCCAAATTGTATTTTTCTAGCTGCTTTGTTCAGCTGCAACTCTGTGATCCATACATTTGTGGCCAGGTTGCTTTTTAAAAATAAGTTCAATACCTCAGTGGGCTTTGTCTGGTAGAATGGGGATGGTTTCGTTTTATTTGTATGTGTTTGGGTGATGTGTTTACCTTTCTTGTACTTTGGACTCTTATCGGGTGTTTGTTCTGTTTGTTGTTGTACCTTTCTTACCCTCCCCATCTGGACATCTGAAAAAGAGCTTTTATATCTCATCGGATTCCTCCAGTATAAATACTACTACAGTAAAACCTTGGATTGCGAGTAACTTGGTCTGCGAGTGTTTTGCAAGACGAGCAAAAATTTTAAATAAATATTAATTTGATAAACGAGCGAGGTGTTGCAATACGAGCAGTGTACGTATACGCTTTATCTGCCTAGCGTCACGTGATCACAACTCATATTCGAGTGCTTTGACATACGAGTGCTTTGGATTACAAACACGTTTCCGGAACGAATTATGCTCATAATCCAAGGTTTTACTGTATTCTGATTCTGTAACGGAGCCATTACTGATGCCTCAAACATGCCAGTTCACATGGATCAACTGTTGGAATCATACTGCAGATGCTTTAACACTTTTCTGTTTGTTATTATGAGCTGCAGAGTGGCATCTACTGCCAAGCGGATGATAAAGACCCTAAAGTTGGTGTTGATTTTGTTGTTTTGCTTTACAGATTGAAAAGCTGACCTCGAGAGAGATGTTGGAGACGTACAAGAGGTTTCAGTTTGAACAAGGTGACACGCATGTGTGGTGTGTGATGCCTTGTTCCCCGTTGTGATGCCATTGTTTGCATTGTGATCCGATTGTTCCCACTGTCTCTCCATTGTTCTCACTTGTGATGGTCGTGATTAATATTCTGATGTTGTGTTCCCATCCCTGGGCGGCAGCTGCTGATTGTCCTTGTTGGTCGTTGATTGTTATTGTTGGTTTGTTTTCGCTGTTATTATTCGTTGTTTGTCAGTGTTGGTTTGTTTCTTGTTGTTGGTTATTGTTGGTTGTTGTCGTTGTTGGTTGTCGTTGTTGACGTTGGTTGTCGCCGTTGGTTGTTGTCGTTAGTTGTTTTTGTTGATTTAGTTGTCGTTTTATTATGGTTGCTGCACACAGGCCCCTAGGTTCAAAATCCAAAGCAGCCGGCAAGAAACGGCACTATCAAAGTTGTGATAAGTAAGAGTTGACGCTTCTATTGAATTGAGCAAGGTTTAAAGAACTTGGACAAATACGATGATGGGAGGGGATTATTAAGTGGAGCGGTAGAGCGGATGCATTGTGACCTCTGCGGTGTGACGAGTGAGCAAGGGGCGAGTTGGTGGCTCAGTGAGTGAACGAGTTGTTGTGATCTGCAGTGCGGTGGTATAACATCGTGTGACAGTCGTTCTGGTAGAGCGAGTGCTCAACACGGAATGAGGATAAGGTGGATGAAAAGGAGGAGGTGGAAGAGATGGAGGGGGAGGAGTTGGATGAGGAAGTGGATGAGGAGGTGAATGAGGAGGTGGATGACGAGGAGGTGGATGATGAGGAGGTTGAGGAGGTGGATGATGAGGAGGTGGATGGTGTGGAGGAGGTGGATGATGAGGAGGAGGTGGATGATGAGGAGGAGGTGGATGATGAGGAGGAGGTGGATGAGGAGGAGGATGATGAGGAGGTGGATGATGAGGAGGATGTGGATGAGGAGGTGGATGAGGAGGAGGTGGATTGAAGGAGGTGGATGAGGAGGGGGTGGTGGATGAGGAGGTGGTGGATGAGAGGAGGTGGTGGATGAGAGGAGGTGGTGGATGAGGAGGTGGTGGATGAGGAGGAGGAGGTGGTGGATGAGGAGGTGGTGGATGAGGAGGAGGAGGTGGATGAGGAGGTTGAGGAGGATGAGGATGACTGGTTGTTGCTGTGCGTGTCTGCAGAGGTTCACCTGGACCCCGCGCGACGGTTCTGCCCATCCCCGGGCTGCCAGGCCGCGTGCCGCGTGCCGGACGGCTGCTCGCCGGGATCGGCGGCACGCGTACTCTGCGCCACGTGCCGCCACGAGTTTTGCGCGGCATGCGGGGTTGCATGGCACGGCGCGGGGCGGCCCTGTGCTGACCACGGCACCGCCACGGCGGCGGGCCTCGGGGGGGCAGCGCGGGGCAGGGGACGAGGGGGCAGCATGGTGGGAGCGGCCGCCGCACGGGCGACGCGGGACTCCAGGTGTGAGGGGGGGGCACGGCACACCGTGAACGAACGCACACAAAGACAAAACTCCCTCCGTATCGCCTGAACGGACTGTCGGGGCAAGTGCTGTTAGCGAGCACCAATGAAGGCCAGCACGGCACACGAGGTGGTCGGTGGGCAGCACCACGCACGGCCGCCTTTGTCTCCCTAAATGGGGATGTTTACACCGCACCAGGTACTCATTTGAGGCTAAGTCGACCTAGGGGAGGCCCAGCACTGGTTCAGATAATTGTCACTGGTGTTGCCTGTGAGCGGGAATTGAACTCTGGTCGCCGGGATTGTAGCGCAGTGCGGACAAATGCACGAACATGTAGACACATGTAGATAACGTTTCGGAAGGGTGGACAACATGGACATAGACACAGACTTTGTAGTTAAACAATTAGACGTTTAATCCACATGTAAGCAGCAAAACCTACCGTTCGTTGCACGGTTGACTACCTACGGTGCGAAATAAGTTACATCCATACAGGCGGGAGACTGCTGGTGCATGATTGTGTAGACGCACGATCTTAAAGTTACAGATCACACAGAGAGGCAGAGGACACTGAAGCGGGGAGGGGTGGAATGGATAAAGAGATCTAAACAGCTAAACTGATAAACGGGTAGAATAACATAATTATTTTTTTATGGATTTAAACATTATTTTAAGGCATGTTAGGAATTGTAACAATAATTTTAGTGGTAGGTATTTTAATTCTCCTCTTATTGTTGGTGGGGGGGGTAAGGGGTTGTAGCTTCTGCACAAACTCGTGGTGAACGCGCATCTTTGTTGTGCTCGTACTGCCTGGCTGCTGCGTGGTGCCGGATATCCGAACAAATGAATAAACATGCAAATGAATGAATTGATGCATGAACAATGCATAAACAAATCTATAAACTAATACTTTCATGAATACCACCAACGGATAAACAATGAATACATCAATAAATTATTTTACGGACGGATGCGTGATTGAACTAATGAATTCGTGGACATCAGGGTCAGTACACGAAGTATTAAATATCAAATTAATGTGTTGATGACGGACGAATGGATGTGCGACTCGACAAACGAATTATTTTCCGTTGAAGCGCTCTGTTGGGGGAGCTGTCGGAGGCGCCCATCAAGCGCTGCCCGGCGTGCGGGGTCCTCATCGAGCGCAACGAGGGCTGTGCCCAGATGATGTGCGGCAAGTGTCGCCACGCGTTCTGCTGGTACTGCCTGCAGTCGCTCGACGTGAGTGCACGCGCAGACATGCGTTCTCTCTTGCGCGCACGCGCACATTCACATGCATGCATGCACGCACGTACGCACGCACAAAGACGCCAATCCCCCTTACAGTGCCGGCCTATGAAGGCCGGCACGGTACATGAGGGGGTGGGTGGCCAGCACCACGCCCGACCGCCTTTGTGTCTTCGAGTGGCGATGCTTACTGCACTGTACCACGTACTCATTTGAAGCTGAGTCGACCTAGGGTAGGCCCAGGACCGGTTCAGATAATCGTCACTGGCGTTGGCCGTGAGAGGCAATGGAACGTGGGCCCCCACCATGTCACTGCTCACCACCATTCACAAACAAAAATCGCCAATATATCCATAACAGACTTGTAGGGACGAGTGCTGTTAGCGAGCAACCACAGCAATACACAATTCAGCAAGAAACAATTCGCAATTGTTTCTTGCTGTGGTTGTCCCACCTGATGACGGACACTTGTGTTGCGCCGGAAACGTCGTGATTTAATTTATTTTATTTTATACCTACGTTACTTTACCGAAAGAACCAAAGAGTATCTTAGCACCTGTTGATTGCCAGAAAGGGTAAAAACATTCTTATTTTTGCATACTTTGGTACTGGCAAAAAAAGGTCCCATTTTTATATGTTTTTGCTATCGCTGGTGCTTATGCCACCTCTGCTGCTGCTGATGTTGCTACTGTTCATGATGCGCATTCTGCTGAAGATGATGCAGGTGCTGCTGCGGTTTCTGACGTTGTTGATCTCGTTGATGCTGATGATGTGCTGTTGCTGCTGATGCTAATTCTATGATCCTGGTGTGGGTACCAATGCTGCTGTTGCAGGGAGACTTCCTGTTGAGGCACTATGACCGCGGACCTTGCAGAAACAAGCTGGGCCACACACGCGCCTCTGTGCTCTGGCATCGAACCCAGGTATTTGTTGCCGTCTTTGCCACTCGCAAGAGATCGTGAACCCATTGTTATGACACTGTAACAATTTGTTTTTCTTCCTGGGTACTAAGTGTTATTTCCTAATTGCTGACGCCTCAAAAGTACAGCAAATGGCTATTATTCCCCACACACTTTGCTTTTGTGACCAGGAAAGTGATATTTTAAAATGTACCTATTTTAAATGAGAAAACGGGCGAATTTGTGTATTTTTGTTCACATAAAGTCAGAAAAAAACAACATGAATCAAAATTAACATGTATTTATACTAAAGTAGAACAAAAATTACTACAAAAGATTTAGACACCAAGGTGTGCACTACCACAGGCGGGACTGGCCACAGCGGACCGAGTTCGCTGTGGGGAGGAACAACGTCAAGTGGGAGCCACTGGTGGACCCCCGGAAGGTGCTGATACCATCACTGCACATCAAATTGGGCCTTGTGAAACAATTTGCCAGAGCTGTAGATAAGGAGTCAGCAGCCTTCAAGTACTTCAAGACTTCTTCCCTAAGCTGTCTGAGGCAGAGGTCAAAGCCGGTGTCTTCGTCAGGCCACAGATAAAGAAGATCCTGGAGTGCAATGAATTCCCCAAAAAGCTCACGAGGAAGGAGAAAGCGGCTTTGAACAGCTTTGTCGCAGTGGTTCGTGGCTTCCTGGGCAATCACAAGGTCGAAAACGATGTGGAGCTGGTTGAGACTCTGGTAAAGAACTACGGCACAATGGGCTATAGGATGTCCCTCAAAGTCCATATCCTTGATGCTCATCTTGATAAATTCATGGAGAACATGGGAGTGTACTCGGAGGAGCAAGTCGAGCGCTTCCACCAGGATATACTGGACTTTGAACTCTGCTACCAAGGACAGTATAACGAGAACATGATAGGAGACTACATTTGGAGGCTGATTCGTGAAAGTGATTTACAGTATTATCGTAAATCTCGAAAAACTACTCACTTTTAAAATATTTTTTCGTAATTTTTGTATTACTTTAGGATAAATACATGTTAATTTTGATTCATCTTTTTTATGACTTTATGTGAACGAAAAGACACAAATTGGCCCGTTTTCTCATTGAAAATAGGTACATTTCAAAATATCACTGACCTGGTCATAAAAGCAAAGTTTGTGGGGAATAATAGCCATTTTCTATACTTTTTAGGCATAAGAAATTACAAAATAACACTTACTACCCAGGAACAAAATTGTGTTACATAGTGTTATGAAGCGTAGCTCTCATCTGGTCCACCAATTAATTCTACTTACGATTAAACTGATTGCATAAAAGCAACATGGCAATTAATTTGTTTTCCTAATTAATTTGCCTACATTTCAGCTGTGAGAATTAAAATATCAATCTAACTGTTTCCTGCGACCAAACATTGCTCCCATATGCAGAGCAGGTTGGAAAGTGCTGCCGTCCTCCCGTGTGGAGCAGAGGTCATGCTCCAACACAAAGGGTCTCCCCACTCGGCGAGAAGACGTGAATGGCCACTCGGCCTCTTGACGCAATGCCAACGGCTCAGTCGGGAGTGGTACCAATGCCACACTCGGTCTCTGTGCCGCCCCACGCCCCCTCTCTCTGCCCAGGTGGTGTGCATCTTCGCGGGGCTGGGCGTGCTGCTTATCGCCGCCTCTCCCTTCCTGCTGCTGGCGGCGCCGTGCGTGCTGTGCGCGCGCTGCCGGCCCCGCTGCCTCCGCAAGCGCCGTGGCACCGACGCCAACGCGCCCTCCTCCTGAGAGCCGCGGCACCGCGGGCGCCGGCCGTCTCCGCTCTAGCAGCCTCCCACCCGCTGCAGCAGCAACAGCAGCATAGGGGTGGTCTAAACGGAGCGACCAGTTGGTCCAAGCCATAGGATCGGAATCCTCAACACTGGCTCAGGACCGCTTACGGAGATGAAACACCGTTACCGAATGCTCGATTTGAGCAGGGACTCTTTGACTTGACTTTTTTTGGCATCATATAAAGTACGTAGTGTTGTGTTTTAAATTTAATTCGGTGTGCTTTATGTAGGAGTAAAGCAAAGGGCCTTGTTAGGAGACTGGGTGTGCGTGCGGTGGTCGGATCGATCGCCGTTGAGCCAGACCTGATGGCTCTGTTCCTACTACAGCTGTTTCATCACAATCGTTGGAAAAGGGGGAGATGCTTTGATGTAAGCGACTTGACTTTGTAAGAAAAACAAAACTTGAGTTGGTGGCATACTTCTAAACCAGTGCGTTGAGGTCAGGAGTTGGTGGAACGTGTGGCAATCCCAGTGTGGTTAAGACTCCCAGATGTCATTGCGGCCATGCTCTCCGCTTGCACGCATGTGTGTCCTCCAGTTTCCTCCCTGCATTCAAAAGGAATTTGCCCAACATTCCAATGCAGAAACGTAGTTGCAAAGTAAGTTCTTGCATATTTATGTTCTTATAAGTTTTTGAGCTGACCGTTGTGCAGCTGATTAATGATGTCAGATGACACCAGGAGCTTACTTTTTTCTTTGTTTACCTTGAGAAGGCCCTTTTTCAAGGTAGATGTCGCACCAATTGCCTCCGTCACAGCCAGAAATCGAACTTGGGTTGCGTGGATTGTTGCGCAGCGTGCTCCCTAACCACCATCGCCGCATGATACTCTTTGGGTATGTGCTGTTAGCGAGCGTTAGGCGGAGTCGGCCTAGGAGAGATGCAGGACAGATTCGGACAGTGCTCGTGTTGTCTGTCATGGCTAGAAATTGAACCGGGTGTCAAGAACTAGCGCACTGCGCTAACCCATGGTCACACGTGCACATGTACATGCATGTCGAACACTGTCACATACGCTAAGATGCAGCATGTGCATACAGTACTGCAGTGTGTTGTGGGACACGACCCACAAGACTTCCAAAGCACTCACTATAGCGTATGCTGTGTGTATGCACAGCCTGATTAGTAGACTTAAGACATCTGTTGTTGTTAAAACATTTTACAAGATGACTCTTTACCAATTTAGTTATTTTGTATTGTTGGGGGTATCGTCGGTAAAGCTCCGCCACCCTATAAGCACAACTTGCTCTTGTCGTCCACTTGGGCTGGACATGGTCGGCTAGCGCTCACCCTGGAGGATACACCCGCAGGGAGGCCGTCTCGCGCGCAACGCTCTCAGCCGACCCAGGTGTGGGAATTGAACGGGAGATGAGAGGAGAGGCCATGTAGGATGCCGACCGGTTTGTGAAGGCGGTGCGGAGGGTGGTTAAGTGTTTCCGACTGTAACGCTTGGGTCCTCCCCAAGGCAACTCTGGTTCCTCCCACGTGCACCAAACAGGAAGGAACAGAACAAATTGACCATACACTCTGATGCAGAACCCGCTTGGTCTTTTATTTCCCCGTATAAAGATTTACTCTCGATGCTCGGTTTAAAGACCGATTTGTTTGAACGCAAGCGAATCCACTACTCGCTGGCAGTGGTTGATTATATTCTTGTGGTAATTAAAATAGTGCGTGTTTTAACGTTTGTGATCGAGCAGAAATTCGTCAACTCTTTACGAACCAAAACAAAGACGCCGTCATTAGACAACAGTCGTGTGTGTGTGTGTGTCGTGACATGGGCATTCAGTGTGGTGTGTGTTTGTTCAGGTTCTGTATTGGATGTGGAAAGTTCCGCATTGCACGAGTCATTGGGTTTCTTTCAGGTGTGGGGATTCCGTGCTGAGCGAGGTTTATTGGAACAAATGAAGGTTCTGTGTTTGCGGAGACGAGAGCTCGGTGGTGATGAACACAGGGACTCTGTTGGATGCAAGACTAAGGTTCTGCATTGGACGAGGGTTCTATTTTGGATGGATTGCTATGCCACAATCTTAACTTCACAAATCCGACGCATTTTTATACTTTTTTTTGGTTGCCACTAACAATTGACAAATCGTTTTTGCTATAATACACTTTATGTAAATAGACACCCCTCTACCCCGCCACTTCAGTGCGAGTGTAACCCATTTCGTCAGCAAACACGACTCACGGTTCGTTCATCGGCAGACCTGTGTAATGGATGCAACGTCCCGTGTGGCATGAATGAACAACCGGGATATGTCCCCCCCACTGAACGGTGACATGGATATGATTGAGAAGTTGTAATGCGAGGGCTTATAATGGTCGTGGCGCTGTGTGGCAGTCACTTGTGCTGCAGCAGATGGCACTTGTGTCTGCTGCCCAGTTATCCAGGAACTTTGAAAGAATCGCTCGCATCAGGATTACTCCGAACGCACTGCTGCCTCTCCTCGGTCAGAGTAAACATTGTGCGATGCAGACCACACGGCCTCGGCCTGTGTGGATCCTCAAACGGGCAAACACTTCCCCTGCGTTGTGGGGGTCGCTTGACTTAACCTTACCACACTGCTCTGTGCGGGTTGGTGGTTGGTGCGGCTTTGTGGAAGTGAAGGGGGCCAAGACCGATTTCGGATAACTCTCACCACTGTTGTTGGCTGTGGCCAGGATTCGAACTTGGGTCGCTTGGTTTATAGGGCAGTCTGCTAACAATTGGGCCGCTTACTTCTGGCTGCCCTGTTGCATTAATGCCCGATGAACGCCGCCTGTCTTAATTTCGCGACACCGAGCCACAACGTTGAAATCCGGTTTTCACATTTCCTACTCGGGCCACAGTTTAGTTAATATATCTTCTCTTATATCTTCTCTACATTTTTTATTTGCATCAAATCACGAAGGCGGCGTAACTTGTGGGGTGTCCTCGTGCCTCTGTTGTGAGGTGTTTTTTGTTCTTTTGAATACTCGTCAGGTTGTAAACACTTTATTAATTGGAGACCGTGGTTAAAATATGCCGGTATATGGCCGCATGCCAGAGTGGTGCTTCTCACAACGCCAGACACGTACACGGGCTCTTTCCAGAAGAGTTCCTATTCCTACGCTACATTGTTTTCTTAGAGGAAACGGCAGTGAACATGGACTGCATGACGAATGGGTGTCATTGCGGCACTTTTTTAGTCTCCGTTTTGACCACTGATTAGTGACATAATGAGTCCATCATAGTGTCTTACGATGCCAGCATGGCTGTGTAGGAATTGTGCACATCATGAACATACGTTACATATTTTCCGAACTCAACGCTATACCAGTTGTCATTGCCAAGTTTGTTTTTAAAGATGGGGTTTGGAAACCGCCCTCCCGCTTTGCGTAATGTGTGAAAAGCACAGGCTTGTACATGCCAAGTGTTTATCTTAATTATCTTCACGAAGATGTGAAGGCGTTTAGTGAAATAAGTTGTGGTCTCCGCACTTGCTGATGCTTTGATTTTTTTTATTGATTTGTAATGCAATGTGAACCTCATTTTCAGACCATGCTGCCATTGTGGGTGTAATGCGGTCCTGGGGCTACGTGTCGGTAAAGTTGCGTTCAATAGATGGCTCGTTTTGGCTCCATTGTGCAGGTGAGGAATTCTATGACTTTATAATCTCGATATGATTACAAATGCAAAACGTTTCTTCAAAAGGAAATGCAACCCAAAAAATTCCTCTTGTCTCCTCGCCGGAGCAATTGTCAATTCATCGCAGTGCGGCAGTTAAAATGTTTTTTTGTAAACAGACTAATGCCAGTGTTCTCTCTCATCTGGACTACCAGCTACAGGGAGGATTGCGGCCATTATGGTTGTTAAAATAGGGGCTTCAAAACATCGAATTGGACAGGTTCGGTATTTAGTTTTCACAGTGTCTTTTTAGGTTGCATCTTTACATTTTAATTTGCAGCGTCCACCGAGTTTGCAGAACGTAATTATGTTTGGCTGCTATAAATTTCCACATGGTGATAATCCACTCAATTGGGCTATCATTTGTGGCCAGGTTGCTTCTGATAAAGAGGTATGTAGCTTAGTGGGCCTTACCTGGTAAATAGAATAAGAAATGGTTTAGTTTTATCTTGAAGCCTCTTCCCCCCCCACTCTGGGATTGTGGCGATGAGTATCGACTGTCATTTCAAATACGGTGACCCCCCCCCCCCCCCAAAAGTGCTTGGGATTATTAATGTAGGAAATCAATTTGCAAGGCTAAAAACTTCCAAGGGGTTTCTAATTATGTATTTAACCAGGAATTAAATGCTACATCCAACGCCAATTTTAAATAGAAACGTAGGAAGAACTAAGTCTCCCCCTGCTAGAATGAGCGTGGGATATTGCTAATTTCCTTTGGCAACCCTCAGCCAGTCATGGCAAAATGTCACATTCATATTGGGGGGGGGGGGCTCTTGTCGGTGGCAAAATGATTGACTCTCCACAGTGATACTTGTTCTATCCAGCCCAGCGGGATAATGGGTGATGGGCTGTCGACTTATGCGATAATGATCATGAAAAATAAAGAGCTTTATGCAGCTCGGGCTATACAGCTCAGTGGGCCTTACCTGGTAAATAAAATAAAAAATAGTTTATTTTATTTCAAATAGTTTATTTTAACGGTATACAGCACTGCAACACAATTCCGACTGCAAAGTCGTGAAGACGACTTGCCTCCCAATGTTCTGCAAATGCCCCAAATCGTGAGTGCTGCAATACTCAAATTCGTCCAGCAGAGGACACTTTGTATGGGTGGGGTGGGGGCGGGGGAATTTAATCGAATTAATCGTACACGTTTCCACTGTGAATTCAGCAGCTTGTGATGGTTAGGTTTTTATATATATACACACACACGTTCAAAGTGTCTTGAATGTAACGGAGGCTGTAGTTGTCAACACGTGGTCGCTATCGCTTGTGGGACCCCAGGCTGTGCAGGAGCAGTCTTTGCAGCCTTTACGTCACGAGCAGAACCCACGGTGCAAATGTTAAATTCACGATTTAAGATAGCTGCAACAGTTCATCCAGTTTACTTTTTGCATCCATTGTGAATCATCCCATGCCGCTTTGATAATTGACCCCATTTTTTATGGAGATGCAATTGCCAGATAACTATGGCCATATAGAGATACCAGTTCCCTGTCATTAATGGAATTTGCACCCTCTGGCTCGAGGTCACTAACTTTTCAAAAGCTCTAAACCCGTTCTGTACTTAGCAGCTGTGAGCCAGCAATATATATTCCAAATTCCGAATGGTGGCGGCCAGTTTTTCGTAGGACAGCTACTGTTGTTTCAGAATTAAAGCTGCTGTCTGCTACGCTGCTCTGTGAGTTAAGGTTGCAAGGCTGCTGCCGTGCAGCGTTGGCACGGCTACGTTTTATTATGAATATTATTTAAATGGGAGTAAAAGGGACTTTCTTCTCGTAGATGTGAACACTTTTGTGATCTTGTAGGCAACAAACACCGTTTGCAAAACCATGGAATGGAAGAAATTCAATTTGTTTAAAGGAAGCCACATATTAAAATATCACAGTTCATTGCTTTATTAATAATGACTTTTAATTGACTTTCAGGAGTACCGTCTTCACACACTTGTGACATTAATGTGTTGTGAAATGCCTTTAGCTGACACTTAAGTGATGTCATTTACGTGCTATGGTGGTGCTTCTGAAAGACACTCAATTATACAATATTCCTCATTTGAGAGATTCAAACTTGTGTAAGACTCAGTCTGTGTGTGTGGTGACACCGGCCGTTTGTAATTTGGTGGACTCTGTTAGCTTTTGTGGCTTTTCTCAATTGAATTCGGTTGATGTAGGTTCGGTTCGGTGATGATAAAAGGGTCGGTTTGCATTACTCAACACCTTAACGGGATGTTTTCACTGTTCATTTATGAAACTTTAAACATGAGAAAAATATTTCTTACTTGCACTTTGCTCTAATGTATCAGCCTATTTCTGAGGATTTAAAAAAATGTCTAATTTGTATTAAAGATGTTATATTCTGTGGATGTACTGGCTTGTTATTTCATTTTTTCTCGAGATAATATTTGAAACTTTTTCCGAGAGATTGAGCAATGAAACCTGCATGTTTGCAGGTGGATTGTTGCATTGCAGGTTCGTGAGAGCTGGTGGCGTCATGAGGCCTTCAGCCAGAATTTTATTGACTGGCTGATGATGATGAGCGCCACGTTTGCAGTGATATGCAATCACGTTGTCTCTCACGGACACTGTCCAACTACGATCTGGCTCTAGTCTAAAGCAATTTGCCTATTCGACTGCTGTGCCAGGAGATTGAATCAAGTTCAGTATACTCGGCATTATACCACAGCTGCATAGTGTGCACTTCATCTGTGCAATTTTACATCTCTGGGAAGGAATACATATGTAGTCCAACTGAGTCGCAGACGTTGTCTTAGGAGCAACACGTTTATTAACTATTTGCACAACATACTCCAGGGTTATTAACACAACAAACTCTCGGGTGGTGACCGCCCAACTCACCACGCTACGGCGGAACTAGACACGGTTCCGCTATCCCAGTTCGGACCACAAGCTGGGTCCCGGACCGCGTGGCTGGGGGCTTCTTCAAGCTTGACGTGGATCTCCTGCCTCTCCAACAGTCAGAACCCCGAGCCCCTCAAAGGCCCCCCCCCCCCTTATATCGGGCCGGGGCTGGCTCCGCCTCTCGCCCCACCCACCTCGACCTCTCTCGTCCTTGCCCGAAGGCTCTCGAGAGTTCTTCCCGGACCATGTGACCACCCATTGGCCCCCTCCACCTGTAGACATCCTGCCGTGGCCTCGCAGGCCTGGCACCACAGTGACATTCCCAGTCACTACACATATAAGGGGTTAGGATCCTGGAAAATGCGTTGGGCAAAACCAAAAGACCTTATGGGAAAATGGTTACGTTCCTGGGTCCGAAATTATCACTCCCTCTTTTAATTTATTCTACAAGATGTTGCCCTTGTACTAAAGGATATGCTGGGTCGTTCTCCATGTGTTGTGTGTACACACTTTATTTTTCAATTTCACCTCGACACAAAACCCCCGTCCAGCGCTCGCCCCTAACACTGAAACTCCGAACCTCGCTCTCCATTCGTCCACATCTTCATGAACCAATCATTGCCCGAGTTTGACGTACTTGGTGTTGTCTGTGCACGTCATGGTTCCTTGAACGTTAACGATTTGCCATCTAGGCGTCTGTATGACGAACGTTCTCGACGACTGAATGGCATGCGGCAATGTGTGAACATTTTCGTTGTGCCGTTATGCACGAGTTTCTCACATTATCACACGAAAACATACTTAAAACACACGCAAAAGCATTCATGGTAAATTCAGCGTTCTTGATTCATAAAGGTTTTTGGGTTAGATCGCGTTACTTATAAATGTGTCGTAACCCTCCACCACCCGACACGGCCAAACAGTAAGAAAGTGTCACGTTGACAGAGACAAATAGTTCACTACTTTAGCCCACCGGTGTGTTGAAGAGTGAATCCACAACATTTACATTTTTTGAGTACGACGTTTTTTGAGTACGACGTTTGTAAATGTTGTGGATTCACTCAACACACCGGTGGGCTAAGGTAGTGAACTATTTGTCTTTTATATTCTTGATTCTTTCGGTAAAGTCACTTAGAAGGGAAACAATAAAATAATAAAAATATAAAACAATACCGAAAGAACCAAGAATATGAATCCCTGCAGTCACGAAAGCTTTAAATAAAAATACTTGTCTTTTTTCAACGTGACACATTTTTTACTGTTTGGCCGTGTCAGGTGGTGGAGGGTTACGACACATTTATAAATAACGCGATTTAACCCCAAAACCTTTATTATGAATAATATTGGTCACGAAAGCCTACGTGTTAAACTACGCGTTCTTGATCGATTAATTCCCACCTTCCAACGGATGCAGCACTCTCGTGACACTACCTTTTGAAGCGCAGATGAGAATCTTAGCAAATGGTAAACTATCATGCAAAGTCCGATCGTCCTCGCAGGAAACATCTCACAAAGACGGTCCCTGCATCGTGAGCTTTCAGATGTGCTTCTGCGGCTGTATGGAACGCGCTTCATTACGATATGAGAAAGCCACTGGAGCTCTGCACTTTTTAAATCATCTAGTTTGATAACTCATTTATTTATAACTCATTTATTTATAACTCATTTTGTGTTTAGTTTGTTGTCCTTCCCCCGCACCTCCGAGTAGCACGGTTGGCTATGCACAGTACAAATGAAGTTCAACATACAAACCGCATGCAGCCAAAACATAACCCCGGTGTTCGGGAAAAGATAACTTATTGGGTAAAGCGTGCACTTTACTGGCATAGCTGAAACACGCATTCGATAAAGCCGCATTGGGCAAGGTTCTACCGTATTGTGTTTGTTTTTACTGGCAAACGATGGATATTGCTCTCATATGGCAAAGCGGCAGGGTGAGTGCTGCCCCTCTACTCTATGAACCAGAGGTCACTTTCAGGGATATGTAGAACTTTTTTCGCACCGTATGTAGCCAACTGTGCTACTCGGAGGTGCGGTATCTCTGTGATATCCACTTCCGTGGGCTATTGTCTAACATTAAGATTTGTATTCCTGCACGGGATATTAGAATGGCATGTCAAGTGTATTTGTTTAACCAGGCGTTCAACTCAAGAGACCAGAATAGTCTCGGGTTGCAAGAGTGGCCTGGGTCATGGTCACTTCCCCATAGATATTTTATACTGGTAGGAAGAACCAGGTGAACTATGAGGCTTTCTCTCACAACTGTTTTGTCTCAGGACAATAAACTGATAGCATAATTGGGATACAATTGAAGGAAATTCCCTTTTTTCCCTTACACATGGATAAAATATGTAAAGTAAAATAGTCAGTTTCCATATAAACCCCAATTCCTATACGGCAAGCCCTCGCTTAATGCACGGTGTTCACACAACGCGTTTTCGCTATAACGCGGTTCTTACATTCGGGAACCCTTTTCGCACAACGCGGAACGTGCACCGCTGTAACGCGGTACATGCACCGTTATCACGCGGTTTCTGAGAGGTCGACGAAGGACTACGTTGGCGCTGCGTGGCCGAGTGGTATGATGCTGTTTCGCGGAATGATACAGAAATGCGGCCGCGTACCCTCGGCTATTATTTGTCCACCATCTTACTGTGTGCGTGCATCGTATCTCGCCAAACTTTGCAGCATTATATATGGGGACATTGTTTTCGTTTAAAGAAGGCCTTTTCAGGAGCGCATATATCGCGTTAAACGAGGACTTATTGTATTTGCTAGGAGTTTGAAGAGTGCACTTTTACACCATTGGGTCGGATGAAAATTGTATATGCAGTAGACTTTCGATTATCCGCTGTAATGACGGCAAAGATGGGCGTGGATATATAGTGGGTTCTATTGAGGTGCACACTTGAACTTGGAGGCAACACGTTTTATTAACTAACACAACAGGCAACTCTCAACTTTAACAGGATAACGACATAGGGTGGTGACCACCACTCCTAACTAACACTCGAGGGGATAGCTAAAAGGCTGCCTGGTCCACGAGCGAAGACCGGAGACCAAAGATCGTAGATGGCGGCCTCATTCTCAGAGTTGACCCACCAGAACAGCCGCGCTCCCTCTCGGGATTTGGCTTATAACCGCTCTGGCATAGCCGGCTCTGCCCTTGGCCACGCCCCCTTCCAGATCCTTCGGGGGGGACCCTGGGTCCACATCACGTGACCCTCACACCCCCATCTGAGGGTCCCCTTGCCCCCTTATGCAGTCACGTGCCCTCTCGGGTTCACCCAGGATATCATGTCCTGACCCGACCTCAGTGATACCTGGACCCTGCCGTCGAGTGAACCATTCCGTGCCATGCTCACACTGGTGCCATCGAGTGGCACCACGCATACAGTACCACTCTTCACTCGGTACTGTCACAACACAGTAGTGACACCATTTATGTCACGACAGATAATTCAAAATCGCGCATAATCCAAGAATGTCACTATTTTCTGCGAATCTCCATGTCAAAAACCACTAATATCGGTATAAATTGTATTCTTTGGTTCCTTCGGTCAAGATAGGTTCGAATAAAATAACCTATCTACGTGACTTTGTCGAAAGACCCAAAGAATATGAATTCCTGCAGTCACGAAAGCTTTAAATCAAGGTATAAATTGTGTTTGAGTGAAGAAAGTTGAGTTTGTTAATGAACAAAAGAACATCATGGGACCTCCTTTGCCACTGTCAAAATATAAGAATAGGTTTTCCCCTTTTTTCTGGCAACAAAACAGGTGTTAAGATGTTAAAACACCAAACTGAAACCTTTTAGCAAGGAATTATGCTCTGACAGTATATGCATTGTCTTTGAAACTGATTGGTCCACACCAGAGACAGCTTTCTTTAGAGCCTCGTCTCTGAACAAAACAACAATTTTTAGTAAAGAATGTATTAATCTTGTTTTATTACAACAGTCCATACATACACACTCGCTTAAACAGGTTTGAAAGAATCATAAAATCGCTCAAAATGAAGCACAACTAACGATTTGTATTGCTACTTTTGCGATTTAGAACGATCGATGCGCTTGCTTAGTGATAATAACACTTTGCTGTTCCCGCGCAGAAGACTCGGCCCACTAATTGGATGATAGCAAAGCCACGCCAATAAACATCAATCAAACTCCACCCACTGTTGTAAAGATATTGCAACTACTGTAATGTAGTGGTAATTGCGTGGATTTAAGATTAACCGGAGGAACATATTTATTCGGTTGAAGTACGTAATTTGTAATAAGCATTTCCAAGAATAACTATGGATTACTTTTTTAGATTATTAATTTGCGCTTAATGGAAAATCCACGAGTTATTCATTTATGCCAATCTCAGGTACACTGTTAATCTGCATATCGGATAAACCGCACACGGATAATCGAGAGTCCACTGTATTGATTATCAGTTTTGAATTGGCATAAGAATACCTCCATATGTAGTAGCTATTAACTGTATGCAAATTACGT